TGAGCTTGCTTATCATACTTTCTTTAAAAGCACGAGTTCGAAAAAATTTTCTGGTAGACAAAAATACCCTTAAAATTTAAATACTAATCTATTAAGTAAGAGTGAGTTGATAAATTGATGAATTCTTATAAGATATATATAATGTGAAGATAAGGATATAGTTTAAATTAAAATGTAAACTTGAATGAAATTATTAAATGTCAAATTTATAAATGTATACAAGATGACTAGCGTATATGCAAAAACCAAATAAATTAGTGAGACAAATAATGTCCGCCCCAAATGTCGAACTCAAAAACAACACAAACCTACAAATGTACATAATATGGATGTGATATTTGCAAAATCCACCAAACAAATTAAAGAGACAAAACCGTTCTCAAAATTATAAAAAAGAAAAATTAAAACAAACGGCTACGATATGAGGACACAATGTGGAGATCTCTCACCAACTAAAATTCAAGTAGTTCACGATACTGCATAATCAGTTTTAAAGTTTAATTATAATATTATTATTTAAATAGAACTCTATTTATAATTGTTATCCTCTCACATGCAACATCGCATACCAATGTATACAAGCCAAGAAATTACAACAATTTCCATAACACTTTCATCTCCTTCTACAGATACATGCATTTGTTATTTTCTTCTTATTAGACTAGATTAAGTTGTTTTAAAGTAATTAATTATATCATATATTTGATCTTTTTTCATATCAATAAATATCAACAATTTCCACAACAGTTTCATCTAGTTTCTTCTTATTAGATTAGATTAGATTATTTTAAAGCAATTAATTATATTGTATGTTTGATCTTTTTTCAGATTAAAAATTATAATAATTTTCATAGTATTTTCATCTCTTTCAACAGATATGTGCATTTATTATTTTTTCTTATTAGATTAGATTAGATTGTTTAAAAATTATAAATTATAAAATTATTATAATTTTCACTTTCTTTTCATCTATTTTCTTCTTATTAGATTAGATTAGATTAATTTAAAGAAATTACTTATATTGTATGTTTAATTTTTTTAGATCACAAAGTTTAATTATACTATTATTATTTAAATAAATACCGTTTATATAAAAATCAAAGCGAATCTCACACATATTTTAGATCTCAATACCAATTGTGATATTTACACATGAGTGTTGGTTAAAATAAATTTCATGTATGTGCTTAACTTATATGATCCTACTTTAACCGGATTAGATAATTTAAATATTTTTAACACCCAAACTCTTCCATAAAATCAAAAGAGAGTAGCAATGCTATAGCTATATATATCCACATGACCACAAATATCTTGAAAATGAACGAAGAAAACCACACAAATAAAAATCATATTAATTACCACACACACCCACTATTTTTAAAACTACCCTTCTCCAACTCCATCTATAATATATCCACATACCAAATTAAGCTATTGGAGTTTTTCCTCACCAACTACATCATTGATCAACCTACCTTTTTCCCTTTGTACTTAAATTGTATAATATTCATTGCAATGAGGACTCACATGAGCCCAACAAAAAAATGTACTAGACCTTATAGTTAGCTAATAATGAGATCCTATCATTAATTATAAACAAACTAAATAAAGATTAATAATTCTCAAGAATGTACTACGTTCCCTTAGCTTCTACTGCAAACTTGTTAGTTGTTTATTCGTGGCTCCAAAAGATTTTCAAAATTAATCATCAATTTCATAAAAATTTTAAAAATATTTAATTAAAATTTATGGTAAATGTAATAATGCATGTTTATAGATTTTAGGGAAAATTGTGTCTAGGCCCCAAAATATTAAAGGAGATGTGAGTAGGCCCCCTGTATTTTTTTGGGTGCCAAAGCCCCCAATACCCAATATTCTTATGTTTCAGTCCTTTTTACGTTTCTCAGACCGCACAGAGAGAAAAAAGACAAAAACTCAAAACTGTCATTTCCCCTTGTTCCCCCCAAAACCAGGTTGTCTTCTCTCTCTCTCTCTCTCCCTCTTCTCTCTCCGCAAACCAAGTTCATCTCGAGACCCATTTTTGAAAACCGTAATTCACTCAAGCGTCCTGGAAAACCACACAAAAAAATGCCCAAAAAATTTAAGAAAAAAGGGCGAGAAGCTTATGGAAGAGAAGGGTGAATGAGACAAAACGCAGACGGAAGTGCTTCGTCACCGGCGACGCTCGGTGCGATTGGCGAAGGAGGAAATGCCAAGGTTATCCGCCTCCGCCTCCGCCCATGCCCTCATATCTCCCGCCGGTGGTTCTCCTCCGACATCCTCTGAGGAGGAGGAGAGTAATGAGGCGACGGAAACCCTATTGAGCATGAAAACGGTACTGCAAAATCGAGAGGGGAAGAGGAAACGCTCGGTGAAAGGACCGTTCACCTCAAAAAAGAAGTAAGTTTCCAATGAATTGCGTGATTTTGAATTTAATTAATTTATTGAGTAAATTGTATTTAATTAAGGTTTATTGGTTCTATTTATGAGAAAATATTGGTCAAAAAATAGTTATTGTAGTGTAGAACCAGGTTCTTATTTTTGGAGCAATGAATATCAATAATTCTCATATGTTGTGGACGTTTACCCTTAAGTGTTAACTATTAGCTATTCATGTTAATAAATAGACGTTTACCCTTAAGTGTTAACTATTAGCTATTCATGTTAATAAATATTAACTTGTAATTAGTTAATGTCTTTACTGTTAACTAGTGTTAACTATTAGCTATTCATGTTAATAAATATTAACTTGTAATTAGTTAATGTCTTTACTGTTAACTGTTACCTAATTTGAATTTGGACGATTTGTTGTTCATGCAGGAAAGTTGATGCTGTAGGTGATATAGGGCCTAGTGCATGTTTCGGATCGTATTGTATATTCATGCAAAAACTTCAACCAAAAATGAAGAAGTGACATTAGGATGCCTACAAGGGCACTAACTTTGAGCACTACGTATTCTTCGGACCTCCAGCACGCGATCGACGGGCACTAGAGCATGTGCTCAGTCATTATGATGTCGAAACTGATGAATTCTCTTTTCCCGATCCCTAAATAGGGTCTCTAGTTTCAGTCAAATTTGATGAAGAGTTGGAGCAAATCCACACTGGCTTCCCTATTGATGGGGAGTTGATCTATAGGAATAGAGACCCTCACAACCGGCTTTGGAGGGAGTTCTTTGAAGATAAGAAAGAAATGTTGAAGGACAAGGCAAAGGCAAAGGCCAGGGCTACAGAAGAAGCTGGTAGCATGAGGAAATATGTTGAAGAGTTACTGGAGTCACTTGTTGAGTCAAGTGATAATAAGGACATTGAGGATTTTGAGCTTCTTTAGATTTTGTACCAGTGTTCAATGATTTGGTGCCCGAACAGCTCGCAAAGCATCCCAAGATTGTTGTTTTAATATGTTGATAGTATTGAGAGAGTGAAGAGCATTGCCTGGGGCAAATTTATTTTTGACGAGACGAAGAGAGGCATTCAAATTGCCGTTGAAGGGTTGAGGAAGCCAAGGGTTACGTACGTACCCAGATGCATGCAGCTTATCCCTGTAAGTTGCATGTTCATATATGGTTTAACATTTGTTTTAGTTATTAATAGTTTTGGTTACATGCATTAGATAACATGTTCAAGATTGAATGTTAACAGGATTTGATGAAAATTAACATGTAAACATAAAAGTTAACATGGAAACCTGATAACTTAACATGTTTAATTAAAAGTTAACATGTACTCATTAATGTTAACCTGTATTAGTGAAAGTTAACCTTTTACTCTGAAAGTTTTCTATTTAGAATGAAGTTGAACAGAGAGTATTGACAGTTAGGAAAATTATGACAAATATTTGTTGCTTCTATTTTTACAGCTATGGTACTATAAGATGTCAGGGATTAAAAAACCAGCCCTAAACTTGAGATGGAAGCCTTTGTTGATCAATTGGGTAAGAATCGGAGGGACGGTTAGATCGATGAGGAGGGAGACAATTGTCTCTAAGGCAAAAAAAGCAAACATTAAGATTAAGGATAAACCAATTTCAAACAGCAGCCCATGGGGTGAGAAATACCCTCTAAGGGAGCCCAACGGGAAGGAGGCTAACGCTCATCCTGGAGAAGTAAGAATGAGATCTATATCATCTAAGAGTAAAGCTATGGTGGTTTCACTGCCGAGGAAGAAGGAGAAGATAGAAAAGGTAAAGGATGATAAACAAGCCAGAGTGGAGGGCGGACTAAATAGCTCATTCGTAGGATACGTAAGCATCAATGACTCTTTACTGATTTTTCCTTATTTATATTGGTTGAAATTAGGAAACTTCATCATTAATTCATTATTAAATTGCTATGATGGTTTCATGTTTGGTTTCGTTGTACAAGATAATTACATTGTTTCATGTTGAGGTAGTGCCCAATGTTCATGATCATGTTAGTACATGTAATTACTTTTGAAGCAAGATAACTTCTAATGTTTTATGTTATCTTTCATGAAGTTGTGCTCATGTTAGTTTTCAGATTAACATGTTAGCTTTTCATAACTTTTATCCTTAATTTTTTGGATTTACATGGTAATGGGGACCTGGATATTTTTTCAGATTATCTCCCATCATATCAATAAAGCGCTTGAAAGAGAAGATGAAATAGAGAAGCTAACCATTGATCAGCAAATTCAGTGTTGGAGGAATACAGCCAATTTAAATTGGAAATTGCTCCATGCCACAAAGCGTAGTAAGCGTCTTTAATGGGATGCTTGCTCTAAGGAGATACATAGGTTAAATAGGAAATCAGAGAAGTACGAAGGAACTGCTGACCTGGTTGATCCCGATGACTTGAAGAAAAATGTGGAGGCTATTATGTCCAAGAGGAAAAGTAATGTTGATAGCACTGTCAAGGGTGACGATGTCGACTGCTTCAATTATGACGATGTGTGCAATATTGGTAAGGAGGCCTCTCATATTGCGGAGGATGTAGCACAATCAGAGCAGGAGGTAGATAAAGTTGACCAAGACGAGGATGAAGAGAAGGGAGGGGAAGATAAAGAGGAAGAGATGGAAGAGAGAGAGAGAGAGAGAGCATGAGCAGAAAGAGGAAGATAAAGAGGAGGACGAGAAAGAAGAAGATAGAGAGCAAGAGTTGTTTGAGGAAGATAAAGAGCAGGAGAAGAAAGAGGAAGATACAGATGTAGATGAGAATGAAGAAGATAGGGAGGAGTACTTTGAAGAGGAAGATAGTGAGCATGAGATGAAAGTAGATGAGAAAGAGGAAGAGATAGAGCAGAACATGATTAAGGAAGAGAAGGACGAAGAAAAGAGAAGTGTAGAGAAAGTGGTAGAGATGAGAGTGGATGAGAAAGAGAAGGAAAAAGAGAATAGAAGTACAGAGAAAGTGATGGAGATGAGAGTGGATGAGAAAGAGAAGGAAGAAGAGAAGAGAAGTGCAGAAAAAGTGGTTGAGATGAGAGTGGATGAGAAAGAGAAGGAAGAAGAGAAGAGAAGTGCAGAGAAAGTGGTGGAGATGAGAGTGGAGGAGAAAGACTTGCTACAAGTTTATCAAAAGAAATCGAAGAAAGTTGTTTCCAAGGGGACAAGGGGACCAAGTACCGGAATCAGGACGCGTTCTCAGCTAGTCCGAACACCTTTCACTGAAGAAAAGAAGAAGGTAACCCATCCAGATATAATTACAATTTCACACCATAAAGAGGATGATAGGAAAAAAATCAGGTACTACTGCAAGCATGGTGAATGCACTTGGGATTTTCAAAAGAACAGGAAAATCAAGAAGAATGAGGAGGCTCTGATGAAGTTGTTGAACGAGGGTATTCCTGTTGTTGATGATTTTAGTATACGCTTGGTTGATAGTAAAAGAATCTTTGTTCACAACTTTAGAATATCCCAGCATGTAGCAACAAAGCTCACACTAGAGGAGAACAGATGGGTCTCAGAGTTTTGCAATCAGAAAGCTCATCAGTAAGTTTAATTCATGTGAACTAATGTTAATAGAATTATGTTAACTTATGGCCATTTATGTTAACATTTGCTAGAACATGTTATTGTTCACTGTTATACGTTAACGTTTCCAGTTTTATGTTAACTTATGCCCAAAATTGTTTTGTATCTTTCTGTCATATATCAGGTCATGTATTGTTGTTAATACGTCAAACAGTAGCATCGATTCTTTGGAGCTTCTCAATCTACTACGAGGAGGCCGTATTGATGACCATGCAAGTTTAATTGCCTCACTATATACATTTCTATCTTTTACAGGTGTTGTGCTGTAGCGCAATTTAATGTGTATCTTATGTATGGCATATTTACAGGTCATGGAAGCTTTGATCGATAGAATTAACACATGGCTAGATAGGCCAGAAATTGCTCCAATGAGCCATAATTATGGGGTTGTATCAGTCTTTTTCTACGTAAGTTGACCATTTTCTGCTACTGAGCTTCTTTAGCAGTTGTTTACTCCTGGCATAACATTATCTTTCTTGGAAAAACAACACCGCCTTTATGCAAACACTCCTGATTTCCCACATATCTATACTTCATTTATACAGAAGCATGTTGTTGTGAGGAAGAATACACTCCTTATCCCGCTTGTGCCTCAGGACCATTGGCATGTTGCTGAAGTCAGGTTGGATGATGACGTTATCAAGCATTACAGCTCAGCTACCCATGATCCATGGCTCAAACCAGTGAATAAAGTAATTGGTTTCATGGATCATATGATGTCTGATTTTGATCTCGATAATGTTTGGAGGAAGTTCAGATATGAAGATGTTCCTTGAGAGCAACAGTCTGGAATGTTAGTATATCACAAGATTATCTTTTTCACCACATCTAGCATCATATATCTAACAAAACTGTTATTTGTATCTCCATGTTACAGTTTTGATTGCAGGTTTTTTGTTCCCTTATACATGAAGGCTATAATCAATGGGGCTGATACGATTCAGGTAACTAATCCAGGAGACAATTCTGCCATCATCCGTGCCAGGCTTGTAGCCGAACTTCTCGTAGAAGGCTGGGAACAGAGACATTAAGAAGAGATTGGAGCACAGGATGGGTGAAAGTGTTATCATTATGTAGTAATTGAACAAATTAACTATGAGAACAAATATAATCTTGTTTTTTTAACAATGCACCGAAAGTTAACCAGTTTGAGTAATTGAACAAGTTAACTATGAGAACAAATATAATCTTGTATATGTTATTTTACAGCACAGGATGGGTGAAAGTGTTATCAAAATGTAGGAATTGAAACTGGTTGGCGATGGGAACAAAACATTGTGATTGTATATTAATTGAATAGTCTTCAATGGACGAAAGTTTGAAACTTTTTGTTAAGATATTTCTGCTGCCAATGGATAAATGACATGCAACTGTTGAAAGTTAACCTGTTTCAGCATAGGTTAACATATGTTGCTGAAAGTTAACCAGTTTCAGCAGAAGTTACTCAGTCTCAGCTAAAGTTAACCAGTTTCAGTAGAAGTTAACCAGTATTAGCTAAAGTTAACCAGACTCAGCAAAAGTTAACATGATGCACCGAAAGTTAACTAATTTGAGTAAAATTAACCTCAAAACCTGAAAGCTAACCACTTTGGATTAGATCAAATAGCACTGAAAGTTAACCACTTTCAGCAAAAGTTTACAAGTCGATCTTCAATAAACTTTCAAAAAACAAGCTTTAATTTTCATACCATAGTGTAAATACTATGAATTGCACATGTTTCAATTCATTTTCAACTTGCATATCATAATGTTTAAGCAAATTAGAACCACACAAAAGCAACATAGAAAGAAGGAACAAGTTTTCCATTTTTCAACTTCACGATTCGATTGCTTCAATGCTTTCTTCAACTGTTTTGTTTTGGCTGCTATCTCATCTTCAACAGGTAATTCTTGATGAATGGCCATGTTCTCCTTCATTGCATTAGCATTGTGAGCCCAAGTAAAAAACTTGCATTGCCTATTTGGGAACTTTACACATCCCTAGTAGTATCTACCTTTGTTGATCCTATTTTTGCACTGCTTGAGGGAGGTTGGAAGTTTGCAGAAACAACATACCTCTTCTAGCGCTTGAGAGCCCTCCTCAGTCTTCATCTCACAATCTCAAAATGAGTTTTCAAGGGATGGTAGGAACAAAAGATAAGGTTTTACCTGGGCTTTGCATAACATTATATATTGCATATTGGAACAACTAACTAGCCGTTGGAATTATGTCTGTTGGAACACTGTATCAACTAGCCGTTGAACAGTAACCTAGATTTGAGAACGGGCCATCATTTAAACTCAAACTTTGGGGCTAAAGGGTATCCACTTCAGCTAAAACTAGTAGTAGTACAGATATAGTTATATGTTAACATGTTCAAGTACAAAATTCAAAACATATTGCTGCCTTGCAGTAGATTACAACTGTCAGTCGATATATAATGTAAACTTAAATACAACTTATATTTCTCTAGCGCCATTCCTGTTGTAAGAAGCATAACACACTAATCACCGATGGGCTGGTTACAAGTTGCTCGGTTGTGCCCCTCAGCTTTGCATCGACCATATCTGACTGGACGTTTCAAGATGGTTCTGTTATTTATGCGTCTTGTTCTATTTCTTCCCCTCCTCTTCATGGTAATTGGTGGAAAATCTGGATTTCATCTCTGGGCACACTCTGCTTCTCATAATCTAGTATGTGATATAATATTTCATCATAGCTCTTCTTAAACGTCTCTACGAACATGAACCAGTCATAATATTGATATACATCTCTTTTCATATAAATGATGACTGCACAAGCATGCACATAAGGAATACGAGTTACGTCCCAAGTACGACAAGTGCATGTCCTCTTCGCCAAATCAACGTGAGTGGTTCTTTGTGACTGCACTTCGAATATATCACCTCTAGATTGCTTAATCTCTAAAGTAGATCCCTTTTCCATATGTTCTCTAACAATCTCCTCAGCTTTAGGACAAAGATAGCTTGTCCACTTATCAGCCATTATGCGTTTGTTGTTCATGCGAGTCATAATTTGTCTACGGATATGCTCCACCATTTGCAAGATACGAGACAATCGAGCATCACGTATCCAGCTGTTAAATGATTCTACAACATTAGAGGTTACATGACCATATCTGCAAACATCAAGATAATAAAAACTATGGTCAGCACTAAATATATAATAATATTAACATGTAGCCACAAAACTTAAAACATGACAATTAACATATATTGGTAAACGCTAACATATATCAGCTATAGTTAACCTATAGAAGGGAATATTCACATACAAGCAAGATAGTTAACATATATCAGGGATAGTTAACCTACAGAAGGGAAAAGTCACTCAGGATGATTGAGTGCGGTACCTAATACCAGGGAAGAATGCATTTGCCCAATGCTCTGGAGAGTAGTTAATTACAATCTCATATGCAGCTGGAGACATCTCATATATATCCTTCATGTAGTCGTTCCATTATGCAACAGTGTATTTATAGCAAGCTGATTGGAGCAAATTCCTCAAAACTTGTGTGTTCTTTGCCTTCATCCCCAAAGCTTTTAGCTTTGATCTAAAAATTTTAACCAGGTGCACAACACATCTTGAGTGAATTGCTTCATGGAAATATTCTCTCACCACTTCTCGGATCCCCTTGTCGGCATCAGAAATAATAACCAATTGATGTGGAGGATTGTATGGGTCTACCCTTTCATACAGTATGGACCACAGACCTTGAAGGAACCATCTCTAATTATCAACATTCTCCTGTTCACATATGCAATATGCAAGTGGAAATATCCCTTCGTCTTCGTCATATGCTATGGCGTTCAGGAGCATGCCTTTGTATCTATCTTTCAAAAAGGTCTCATCCAAAAATAATAGAGGTCTACACCCATTTAAGAAACCAACGATGCAAGCAGCATAACATATAAACAGTCTTCTGAACCTTCCTTCATTCTAGTCAATGCAAATGTAGCTTCTTGGATTTGTTTCCTTCACTTTTTGCTCATATCTGTATCACAATGAGACCACATTTCAAATTTATATAATATAACGGAACATAAGGGTAATATATATTATCATAAAGGCTCACAATTTTTTATGAAACATAACAGTCCACGGTGACAACTGAAATATATATTAATAAAAATTAACATGAAGCATCTAAGGGAAATATATTGCACGATAAATTAACTACTAACATTGTCGGTGGAGTGACTACGATCAAAATTTGTACATTTAAACAGATAACTGTAAAATATACCATCTTAATTGATCGTAAGACTCATAACTATCACCGTACATAGCCTCTTATGCTCTTTTTTTGCCCCACCATATCTTACTGTATTTAAGTCTCAATCCATATCGAGTGAGGAAGTCCTTTTGTACATCTTTTGGGCGGATTTCAGGTCGAACCTTTAAGAGAGGTCGCAATTGGGCTGCTATGAATCTGGGAGATGCCCGTGATTGGCCTGGCAAGTTAGTATGTTGTCCGCAACTATGTTCATTCACAAACCTTTTGATTTCAATTTTTTTTTATTTTTAACAGGAGATGCAAACAGCATCCAAGGGCATCCATATGTCTCCTTATATCGACAAATAACTCGGATACGTTTAGGTTCATTCTTTACAAATTCATAGACAAACTTTTTCGCCATAGAATAGTATTGCAAAGCTAGTCTCAAATCATTTACAGTTTTAAATTGTTGGCCCTTTTCAGTTAATGATGTGCTCCACCATTGAGGAATGCTCAACGTGTTATTGAGAATATCATCAGCTCTCATTACAATCTCACCAGACGGGCAATCATTTTGAATTCTCTCTGAATTAGAAGCAGTTCCTCGAGGAGGAGGATGAAAATATTCTTCATTCAAAGAGGCATCACTACTGCACAAATTAATCAACCAGTGAGATATCCTATACACTATAATATAACATTATCTTCTGATATTTTAAATTAACCATTTTCCATATAAATTAAAAAAGAGCAGTGGAACTTAACAGACACAATGTATAGTTAACTCGTTACGACGAAAGTTAACATGATCACACGAAAGTTAACATGTTCACGTGAAGGATAACATATCTCGTCGAAACTTACATGAAAGATGAAGAGTTAACTATAACCATCAAAGATGACAACTATGTTTTTCAAACAGAACCTTAAAACTGTAAAACCTGAAATGGCTGTTGGGGGTTGTTGATAGTTATGCGGACAATTATGAGGTCAAATTGATAGGATTTAAAGCGCATAAGGGGTTTTGGAAAGATAAAGGGAAAAAACACTTAAATTGTTCCAACAGAACCTTAAAACCTGAAATGGTTGTGCTCACATCACACAATGTTATAAAGAGTTCATTAATTACTTATATTTCACTAATAACTCTCTGTTTTTTTTAAGAACTGGAACACTCTATATTAACAGCACTATTAACAGCAGCTTGCATGTGAATCTCCGTACAACCAACATTTCGATTGTACTTCAACATGCACTTCAAGTCATCTTCATTATCAACTGAAAAACTCATGTTGGGATACCTCTCAGATTTATATATCAAGGATAAAGCTTCTTCAGGTACATTCAGTCTTTCAGCCACATCAAATTTCAGTTCATAAAGCTTGTTGTCGAGCATAGCTTCAAGAATATGGCCTTCTTGCCTAAAGACACCATACAAATCAAGTCGTTGGCGGCCATTGGGATGGTTGAGAGTTATGGAGACAGTTATGAGGAGTAATTGAGGGGATTTAAAGCTCATAAGGGTTGTTGAAAGTTGAAGGAAAAAACCCTAACTT